CACAAAAACTTTTGGGTGATGCCATCCATGACAGCCAACATTTACTGATGACTTGCCCCGGGCTAAGACGGCTCCATGTACGGGATAAGCCTAACAAGGGAGGAGGCCATTATTGTTGATATCATTATCATCTTACAGGTGGGGAAACTGAGGCTAATCAAAGTCACACTGCTGCTGCAGGGTCGCACCAGTCCTGTGCTGGAGTCCCCCGGTCTCTGCACAATCCCCAGCAACCGAGCCACATTGCTTGGGGTTTCCCAGCTACCAGAAGCGGAAGGCTGGCTTCTGTAAGGAAAGTGCTTCTTGGGGATGAGTACATAGCTCCAAATTTGTCCTTAACACTTAAGTCGTTGAGCTGTTTTTCAAGCGCCGTCATTGAGCCGGGCTGGAGTTCTTACTCGACTACTCTGATGAAGAAAAGGTCAGGTCGGAACCCACCCAGAGATACCAGCTCCGGGCAGAACGCTCCGAACAATAATTTGTTCCCGACAAAGTGACATTTTTCCAATTTGAGTCCAACATTGTGCAGAAGCCAGTGCAGTCCCCCGGGGCGCCTCCCGCACAGATCTACAGTGGCTGACAAACCAACAATATCATCTAAATAAAAAATCCAGCATGGGTTTAGTAGATTAATCCTGACAAGAATAAATTGAATAATCTTAGGGAAATGGCAGGAGCTCTGGTTCTACCAGATGGCTTTTTTCTGTCGCTTGCTTAGGTCCTTGGTGGCAGATTAAAAACAAAAAAAAACCCAGCTTTTGGTTTATTGATTTCGTTAGTGTGTTGATTAACACCTGCCACTTCTACACAAGTAAATCAAAGTCGGATATGGACTCTTCCCCGCAAACCCAGTGTCTTTTCACTCGAGCAGAGAAGGGAAGGACACACTTCGCCTGGTCAGGACGGGCTCGAGCCGACAGGGAGTCCTTCTTCTTTCTTTCTTTCCTCCACCTTCTTTCTAGATGGCATTTTCTAGGTTTAAAAATAATCCACGATTTTCATCACGCCCAGACTGAGTTAATCTCCAGTTTCTCCTTCTGTTTCTTAGCAGGGAGAATTCTTAATAAAAGTAAGGGATATTTTGCTGACTCTTTGTCCAAAGTCAATCTGAGGACTCAGCTATTAAAGGAAAGGGAGTGAGAAAAGAAAATGTCTCATGTAGAAATGACCCCAAATCCTGGGACCATGCCTTATAGATTGTCTGGGAATCATGTCTTAGCCTCAGCTTCCCTAAGAAAATACCATAAACTGTGACTTCAGTGACAGGTCCCTGGTCTCTAAACAGCTGATTTCTCTCTGCCGACTTCTCTCTGGGTCCTGCTGGGTGGGGAGAGGGAGAAGAGTGAGAAAGAGGCGGAGATCACTTCTTATAAGGACCCCAATTCTATCTGATCAGGGCTTCACTCTTATGACCCCATTTTATCTTAATTATTTCCCTAGCAGCCACACCTCCAAATCAGCCGCCCTGGGGGTTAGCGCTGCAGCATATGAGTGGGGGTGGGGCATTCCACTTCTTCTGTAGCTATTTTTGCTATAAATGACCCTCCCTCTCAGGGCAAAGAGTGAAACATGTGGCCTGAATTATCTAGACTGATTAACCACTATGATTAAAATAAAATCACCTGCATGTTTTGGATAAGCCTAACAAGAAATGAGGAAGCCATGATGACGATGATGATTGTAATTATCATCTTACAGATGGGGAAACTGAGGCTAATCAACTCTGGTTGGGTGTAGTAGCTCACATCTGTAATCCTCGCACTCTGGGAGGCCGAGGCAGGTGGATTGCTGAACTCAGGAACTCAAGACCAGCCTGAGCAAGACTGAGACTCTGTCTCTACTAAAAAAATAGAAAAAAACTAGCTGGGTGTTGTGGCGGGTACCTCTAGTCCCAGTTACTGGGGAAGCTGAGGCAAGAGGATTGCTTGAGCCCAAGAGTTTGAGGTTGCTGTGAGCCGTGATGCCACGACACTCTACCCAGGGTGACAGAGTGAGACTCTGTCTCAGAGGAAAAGAACAAAAACACTTGGAAGGAAGGGAAAACATCTGTATCTGGTATTAGGGGCCACTTCTAGGTATATACTCAAGCTCCATCATCGTGTGACCGCTGGTGAGTTACCTAGGGGCTAATATCAATTTGTATGTAGCAACCTAAGCAATACTGCCCTCATTTGGTTGTTGGGCATTGAGAGGCAGGGTGGGAAATCACCTGGCACAGTTCCTGGCCCCAAGGAAGTTTTTCAGTCCTTGCTCACTGTTACGAGCTGATTCACCGATATGCAAACCAAATAATTGCTATGCGAATCTTCACCTTATAGTGTCGTGGCCCTTTGTTCCACTCTTGATCTTCATGAACCAGGAGTCCTAGAGGTTTCTGTACTTGCTTAATAAATCACCATGGTGATAGTTTTTCACTTTCATCAGCCTGCCCCAGCAGAGT